TTTTTTTTTTTTTATTTATCTTGGAATCTTTTAGGGCATTAGCTAGTCGATGTAACAATGCACCTAATCCAGATAGATATGGACATTATAGAGAAGTGTCTATTGTACAAATTAAGCATCATTGGTGGTGGAAGGTAAGTAAAATACATGGTATATTTTTTTTTGTTTTTTGAAAACATGGGTTAGAAAAAAAGAAGATTCAATTATATTATATCTGATTTATATAGATTCTCTTTGATTATAGAAATGAATGAGATTTGTACAAGTGAGTAACTAATGTAGAGAAAAAATATTTTATCAGTTCGAATGACATATACCTATAAACTAGCATGTTCTGTTTTTTTGTCGCATTTGTTTTTTGTTTTTTTTTTAATTAAATAACTCAAATCAAATGTGAATTAGAAATTCTAATAAATAATCATATAACCACAAATAAAAAATATTGGTTTGTTTTGAAACATAACAAAACTAAAATATTTCATTTTTTATTCTATTTTAATTGTTTTTTTTTTTAATGTTAATGTATTTTTATTTTTTAGCTCAATTTTGTTTTTAATTCAATTGAAATATTAAAAAATCGTACAGATTATTTATTACTTCTACTTGAAGAAGATTTTTATTTATCACCTGATGCACTTGTCTTTCTTAAAAAAATGGAAACAGCAAAAGAACGGTAAATTAAATAAAAAATCTTTATATTTTCATTTAAAAATTGTTTTTTTTTTATTTATTGTCTTCTCTTTAGTCTATGTCCTGAATGTTTATTTTATACATTAGGAAATCTTGAAAAATCCGGTCGACAATTTGAAAAACTTGGTTCAAAAGTATGAAAGAAAAATGTTAACTCAATAAGAAATAAAATAAAAATATTCTTAGGTATCAATTGCATATTGGCATGCACGATATAATCTTGGCATGACAATATCTCATTCATTATGGCTTTTACTTGTGAAATATGCTGAAGAATTTTGTACAATTGATGATTATAATTGGGATTGGTCACTTGTTTATTTAGCACAACAACGTTTTCATTTTCCTCGTGTAATCTATTCAAGTGCGACAAGAGTTATACATCTTGGCTCATGGTAAAGAAAACAAGTCTATTCTATAGAAAAAAGAAAACATTTTATTTGGTTGATTTTGTTTTAATCTTTTAGTGGTACTCATCATAAAAAATTTTGCTCTAGTGAGTCTGATATCGCTCGTTGGACAGAAACAGATAAATTCTATCAAAATAATCGAAAATATTTATTTCCAACAACAACTGCATCTTTACATATTAAATATGATGGTAAACGTCCATTTAAACAACCAAATGGTGGATGGTCTGATGTACGAGATCGACAATTATGTCTTTCTTTTGCATTTAAAGATTATAAAAACCTATCTCCTATTGATAAAAAAAACATAGTTTAAACATCTTTTCTTTTTTTTTTTGTGCAATATGATTTGTCTCAGTGAAAAGAAAAAAAAGTCAAATGTTCTTTTTGTTTTGTCATAACATTGTTATTGTTGTCTTTTCATTGTCATTGTTTGTGTTTAATTAAATTCCATTTTTTTTTTTGATATGTCAAAAGATGACAATTTGAATATGCTTTAGATTATTTTAAATTCATATGTGTTGTTTAAATTTTGTTCTTTTCGTCATTATCAACAACGTTTAATAGTAGATTATGATATTCAAGTATATTGATTTATCATGTTCAACAAAGACTGACGGTGAGTAGGGTTTGTGTATGGAAATCAAAAATTAAAGATTAATATTTTATGTACTCATTCAAATTGTTGTAATTATTCCAATATGAACGTAAATCATTGTAAGAAATTTTATTGAGATGAGTTGAAACAGAAAAAGAATTTTATGAGTGAAAGCCTCCAATGGGTATATTGCATTTGAGTCAAGACTATGTGTATTATTTAGAACCAGACGAGTTATGAATAAGCTGAAGAGAGTGTCACATAATGTATCTCAAAAGCAATTGATTAGTTAGTCGGATGTATTAATATTATTAATCATGACATTAGGAGTAGTATCAAATCACATATTGATTTAGTTGAACTAGAACTTTTGAGTCAGTAGAATAAATCATTACATATAGAAGAGACATGAAATATTCATTACTATAACAAGTAGAAGAAAATCAAGATATTTTCTTTGAAAAATAAATACAAAATATCAAATGATTGATCTAATATATTTGCCTAAACTTATGACAAGTTTGATTTCATATTGAAACTAATCGTAATCTTCTATTTATCATAGAATTTTCATACTGAATATCATATCCTGATCGATATGTTTTATAGCCTAGAAAAGATAATTTTTTGACTTTGAGTCCATTATAAGTGCTGATTGATATTTATACTTGTAGATGATAGCGTACGTCTGATATGAATTCAATCCAGATGAAGTAATATTCCTTTTTTTCAGATTCAATATCTTCTATTAAACATACTATAATCTCATTCTTTCTATCTGATTCTACTTTGTAGCTATATATTATCCACAATCAGAAACACATCGACTAATATACACTGATGCTAGATAAATATAAATAAGTGTATTCTAAGAAATACAGTATTTGTTCGACGTAATCTGATTATTTTGTCTGTTGCAGACACAACACATATATTTGTCAGAGTCTGTTCAAACTACAAATAATATATCTCTCCAACATAGTATGTTTGATCGAGCTAAAACTCTTCTTTTTTTTTGTTACAGATATTGACCATTGTTGAAGTGTCTACATTATTTTTTGTTTTGAAAAACATTGCACCGTTGATTTTTGGAAGGTTTCACAAAAAATAGCTCTAGTAAGAAAACAAAAACTCATATATTTTTGAAGGTACGCTCAGTATTGTGATTTTTTTTAATTGAATGAATGGAAAGGAAAAGAAACCAAAAGAAAAAGTAGTAGGCACTCCAAATAGTGTCTAGTATCTATAAAAAAAAAGTTCCAATTCTATCGGACTTATTTCGACTGAAAAAACAAGACAATTCTTAGCCTTTACAATCCAGATATTTCCTCGAAAGAAGTATTTGAGAACTTAGAGTCTACGATAACGCTTGCTCTACTCATTGAGATCTACCTACAAATGCATTCGATTTTATGTATAGAATGAAACGAGTAAGTCAAACGATTTATATGTCGTCACATGTTTATCTTTTTCTTTATAGTTTGAATGGCTATTCAACGAAGCAATCGAATCTGAACTGGAAAAAAGTTTGTTGATTTTGAAGAAAACAAAAACCAATTACTTTTTGATTATATGATGTTGGAAAGATATGATTTATAAATTATTCTATAATCAAATTTCTGTAGTTATGTTAGCGAGAGATTTTCACAATAGTAAATTAGATCATAATTTTTATTGATTATTCCATGATAAACTTAAGATCATTTGTTAAATAGCAGAAATTCAATAAAATAAACTTTTCTTTTGTTATTTCATTTTATAACAAGTCTATTATCATCATATAATATTCGATAAGCAGTTTCTTATAATATTATTGATTTACACTATGTGATGTAATGAAGTATCACTCATCAATCATTTATACTATCAATAAAAACATTAGTGTACCATTTGAGAAAAGTATATATTAAATTCAAGATCTATGTACTAAGAAATAGACTCATAATTTGATATTCTAATGAAAATTATGATTTAGTATTATAATGATAATTGTAAAGATATAACGGTTGTATTATAGATAATAAAAGACATAATTTTCGAAATATTATTTGAAAAAATTCTGTAATAATTAGAATTCTGTTTTTTTAATTCATAAGAAAAAAAATAAGAAATTTTTTCTTTTTCGATTAGAATTCGTACAAAATTTGTTGGAATATATGATATCAATTCATTTTATTTTTCTGAAATTAATATCTATGACAAAGCAAAATAGAGAGTGTAAGTTATAAGGTGAGATTTTCTCCGATACTCATAGCAACCCAAATCAAAATAGAGTATAGATCAATAATTTTAACAACGCTGATGCAAGCGATCGCAATAAACTTTAGCAATCAGGGTTAATAATCAATGAGAATGTTTTCATAGCCACCAAAGACAACAGATATCAGATTCATTTTCTATAATTCTTTCACAAAGATACGAAACCAGAGTAGTAAATAGGGATTATGAGAAAACATTTTTAACTCACTAATTGTTTCCTCCTCGAAAGCTAGTGGAGTATATTAAATCTTGATATACTTTATGATCTGAGTAGATCACAAAAGATTTTTTACTCGTAATATACTAACTTTCTGTAAGAAAGCGATTGATTAAGTTAGTGTTTCTCAGGTTATCAAAACACATAATAACATGTTGAATGAAGCCCGCTATGATGATCCTGGACGGTTTAGGTCCAAGTCAAAAAATCTTCGATTTGACAAGGTCTAATATTAAGATCTGTTGTAGATATAATAGATATGTACAACAAGTTTATTTATCAACGAACACAAAAAATAATCATGGTAGTTTAAGGAAAGTAAAAATCTAACGGAAGACAAATCGTTGATCTAATAATCGATGATTCTTAGAAACAAACTTATCTATTAGAGACTTTTTGCTTAACATATTTTGTATTAATCTAATGAAGCCGAAAAAAAAACATATAATTTCCACATGTTAGTCCTAAAGTGGTTCTGCTGCTTTTTAATTGAATATTATTTGAGTGCAAAATACAAATGATAAAAATTACATCAAATATTTTAAAATTATGATTTTTTAAAAAGAATCTGTTTTGTTTTGCTTATTAAAAAAAAATATGTACTTTTAGATGACTCAAAAAAAATATATATATGATTTATTACTCACTAATGTACTACTCTACTCCATATTAGAATTCCTAACAGTAAAAAAAAATCAATGGTGCACGAATATTTAAAAAATCTATTTAATTGAACCTAATATGATTAATGTATCATTTAGTTTTTATTTAATTTTGTAGATTTTAAAAAGGAAAAAGAAAATTATTAAGAAATCAAATTATTATCATGGTATGATTAATTTAATTATTGATTTTTTGTTATAAATTGATTTAAGGTACGAACATGGTATATGGATGATCGAACAGAAGATCCACAGGATGAACATTTATTAGAAGAAGTTGATACGACAACATTATGTGCACGTACAGGTGTTGAAATATGGTATTTTCATCCGGATCAAACTCTTGCTGGAAATGAAAGTCCATCATTAATTAAATTAAAACATGATCGAGGGTAAAAAAAAAACAAATTATTATAATATAATAATTTAATATATCTCGTTTTTCATAGATATACATATGAAGATGAAATTAAAGTTGCACCATCTATGGAGAATTATGAAGAAAAATTAAAAATTTTCTTTGCTGAACATATTCATTCTGATGAAGAAATTCGTCTTATACTTGAAGGTTCTGGTTTTTTTGATGTACGAGATCATAATGATAAATGGATGAGAATTCATGTTTTTCCTGGAGATTTAATTATTTTACCTGCTGGTATTTTGAAATAAAAATAATTTTTTTTTATCTTTTTTTAACTTTAGTTTTTTTTGTAATTTTTATCATTTAGGAATGTATCATCGATTTATAACTGATAAACATAATTATATTCGTGCTAGACGTTTTTTTGTTGGTGAACCTGTTTGGACTCCAATTAATCGACCTGATGGTGATATACATCCATCTCGTAAAACTTATATTGAACATCTTTATCGTAATGGTGCTATTGATACAAACAAGAATATTACTGATGCTATCTCATAGAGAAAGCAAGAGAGAAGAAATCATCATTCTTATCATTTCTTTTCATTTGTCACTATGTTTACTTTGGGCTTAACATTTTTTTTTTTTTATTCTACACATCACACAAAGAATCTATAGAAAGTTAAGGTGACAAATAAAACTATTGAATCTTACTAACTTTGAATCAATAATATAAAGAATACATAATGAAATATTTGATGGCAAACAACAACAAGTTAAGATAGATGTTTGAATTCAGCTCACATTTTATCTTTCAAGAGTTTAAAATCATCACGTATTACTTGATTATCAGTACTGTTTGAATATATTGTTAATGCAGCACCTCCGCTTATGAATGAATTAAATATTGACTTAAATAATCTACTAGATTTTATGTAAAATAACAGTATGATATTCCTTGACATAGAAAGAAATGAAACAAATCGATGCATCATTAATGTTTGATTGATTTTATCTATATATATACATTATTATTAATCTATTTGTTCTAATTTAATTTTGAAAAATCCTATTCATAATAATCTTATATCAATTATCATTGTTATTGTTTGAAAGCTAATGATAGTTAAAGATTAGTAGTTTTTCTTTTATTACTCAATTCAATTCAATGTTGATCAAAGAGAAGAAATCTTCTTAATAAAAATAAATTCTTCTTAAATAAATTAGAACAAAAGTATTTTTTATTTTATTGAGCAAATAAAATTGTCTTTATAATTAAAATATGTTTATTCTAGAAAAAAAACTCAAATGAGAATATTTATTTTAATATAATATTTTTTTAAAAAGTTAATCTAATAAAATAAAAATAGCGTTAGTCCTATCGTAACTCCTTTCCTTATTGATTTAAATTTTCAATTATTTGGAATGAATGAATAAAAAAAAAAAAAAGGAAGTTACACGTTTTACGGTTCTGGTAATAAACCACATATCAAATTAGCCGGAACAGCCTTGTCTAAAACAATACAATAAATATAATAAAAAGATTCTTTTTATAATAATCTTACCAATTTGTTTTGGATAACTAAGTTTAAGTTCTTTCATAACAGCAACAAATTCTTCACGTGACTTTGTTAAACGAGTGTTATATTTTTTTTCTTCTCCAACTGTTGAACTTGTTTGACCTAATGAAGAAAAGAAAAGAATGAAAATTTTCTAGTTTTTTTTATTTAAAATAATTACCTGTATAATCATGTCCAGGATAAACAATAAAATGATCCGGTAATGTAAATATACGCTCATGAATAGATGTATATATGTTATCAGCACTTCCTTGTTGAAAATCAGTACGTCCACAACCTCGGATTAAAAGACAATCACCAGTAAACACATTTGAACCTTTGTGCCAAACAAACGTCATACAACCTATTCATATTAAATTATATTATTCATAAATAAAATCTAAATTTTGTTTACCATTTGTATGTCCTGGTGTTGATCGACATTCAAGTATTAAACGTTGATTTTTGTTATTTTTATCACCAATTTCAATTTCATCACCATCTTTGATATATATATCGGCTTTTCCACCACTATCCTTGCTTATTACACTTCGACATCCGGGTAATAATGTTTTGAGACGACCACTTCCAGTAATGTGATCAGCATGAACATGTGTATTAACTAAGGTAAAAAATACAATATTTTATTATTTAGTATTTACAAACATACTTGCATATCGTAAACGTAAACCGAGTTGTTTAATAAGTTGCATATCACGTGCTACTGTTGTTATAACTGGATCAATAATCAACGCTTCTTTAGTTTTTCCATCAGCTACTAGATAAGTATAAGTGGATGTTTCTTGTTCGAATAACTGAGAAAAAAACAATATGAATTCATTTTAAAAGTAATTAGGAATAAATAAATTTGTTTTTGTACCTGTCGAACAAATGATCCGTTCGATAATGCTCGTCGAATTTCTGTTGAAAGACAAGCATTACTAGATTTTTTAATCAAATGATTTAATGAACGAATGAACATCTACAATAGTATATGTATATATATATATATGTTGTAGTCAAAATTAAAATTCAATCAAATTTAAAATTTGACTGATTTTTTTTTGACTAGGCAAATTTAAAATTTGCTCAGACGAATCGTGTTATTTTATATTTGACTAAATTTTAATTTTGACCAGAACATGTATATATATCAACAAATGAGTATTTAAAAATACAGTTCCATAAGATTTTCATATACATGAAGTTTCTTGTTCTTCCTTTTTTTCTTTTTTCTCTTTTTTTTGCTATCATACTATTATTGCGAACGCATTTGTTGACCCCACGCAGACACACTCTTGCCGTAACTCGATCAACACAAAAGAGACCAACTTCTACTACTATTCGTAGATGTGCGCTCGCACACATCACGTAGACACACTCGTTTCTCGCCGGGTACGACCAAAAGCGAGTAATAGGCAAAGAACAAACGAACATGATCGACTTGCACCAGTCACCGTCGCTAACGCTACCGAGTGATGAAGAAAAAAGAGACAAACATACAAGCTCGCAGCACCAACCGACAACGAGCGAACGAGCCGTCGCTGCTGCGCCGACTCGTCGGTTGTCGTCGTCGTCGTGTTTCATTCAGTCCGTCATCATTCATTTCTCTTCTTTCCCTCTTTTCCCTCTTCCATCGAGCGAGCACACACGCACACACATACGGCGCTCGCACATCTATCGTCTGTCTTTCGTCGTCAACTACGCTGAATCGGACTTTTATTCGCGTAACGCATACTGACATACTACGCGTGAAGTTAGAATGGCCGGTATAACAAATACTAATACATCTACGAAAGTAATACGTATTCAAGATGATGAAAAAGAAATATTGTTTCATTTACGTGAAATTTATGGTTAGTTAAGTTTATCTATTTGAGTAATATCAATAAAAAAAAAACAAAAATAATTCGATGATATTTTTGTTTAGGTAATGATTATAAAAAATATAGTGAATATATCAAACGAGAATCAAGTGTACCATCAACAATAAAAAAAATTTATAAACTACTCGATGAGCGTAAAGCTTATCGACGTATTTCGGATTATTTTCATCGAGAACGGTAAAAAAACAATTTGTTTTCTTTTATGTAATTAAACAATGAACGTATATATATATAGGTAGATAGATATATTCAATTTGAAATATTGATATTGAATAAGAAAAAAAAAAAAAAAGAATTCTTTTTTTGTTTTTTCGATGTTCCATGTTGACGGAAATGCTATATGATCGGAAGGAAATTATTTCTTGTACTTGAACTTCTAAGGTGCAAGAAGAATTTTCTAAGTTTACAAAGTTGTAATGCATCCGAGTGGAATCATGCTTATGTAATTTTTAAAATAATCGGACGTTCACAATGATTAAACATCCTTCTATTCTAATATTTCGAATTGAATAAACACTCAAGTAAATTACAGTTAAAGATTTTTTTTTTTGTTCTGGTTTCTGTAGAAATTCCACTTCATAGTTTCTTTTCTTTTTCTTTTTTTTTTTTGATAAAGAAACCTAAGAAAGGAAGAGACGTGATGACACATACACACATATGAAACTAGAAGAAAACGTTGAAAGAAAATGACACTTTATTTCAATTAGAATGCATGATCGTGATGAAAGATGAAGTCTAATAAAAATATCCAACTATAAACTGCAATTAAAAAGAATTTTACATTCTAATAAATTATTCTTAATTTCTAGTGCGGCTAAAAAAGCTAAAAACCCTCATTCAAATGGTATTAATGGACTGTATACTCGTTCATCAACGCGTGGTATTACTCAAGTGCCTGAACAAATATCTTCTATTCATATGGATCATGACATGGATGATGAAGATGATATAGATAATGATGATGAAGATAATCATACAGGTACAGATAATGATCAACAACAACCTGCAAGTCCAACAATAACAAATGGAAGCGATGAACATAGTGGAATAAATCATTCAATGACTAATGATGATGAACAACAACAACATCAACAACAAATTCGATCTCCACTAATAACTCCTTCAAGTCATCAACGAAAACGAATGTTACCATTAACAAACCATAAACGTCAACCACCACCACCACCACTACCATCCTCATCGTTTATTTCATCTAATATGAATGGTAACTCTGATTTATTATCAGTACGTGCACATTTGGAAAAAGGTAAAATGATATTAAAAAAAAAAAAAAAACTAAGAAATTACTTTTATTATATTGATTACAATTTAATTGTTCTTATCGTTTTTCTTTTCAGCTTTAAATGAACTTGATCGTGCTATTATATCCAAGAATGAATGTAATAGTGATGAACAACATGGATCTATTACACCAAGAAATCATCTTTTACCAAATGGTCATCGTCATTCAAAATTAGATGATATTGTTCGATCATTATCACATGTTGTTAATCAACAACAAGAAAATGCTCGATTAATTATTGATGAATCATCTGTTTTACTAATTGATACTGAACAACAACAAAAAGAAGATAAACAATCAGGAAGATTATTAGCAACAACACAAGAATCAATTATTAACGTTCTAGAACGTTTAAATGCTCTTGTCGATCGGGGTAATTCAATTTATGATCGAGTAGAAAGTATTTTGTCGGAATTTTGACATCTCTTATATATATATATATATTTTCTTTGTTTTGTTTTTCTTTCAAATTTTTATATATATATGATCATGAGAGAATTGTATATAGAAATCTCAACTAATATTTGTTTCGTTTCTGGTGTTTTTGTCTTATAAAACAACACGATCGGTTAAAGAATGAAAGAAAAAAAGAAAAACATCAATCGGATTTGATTACGATATATGAATGGAAAAAAATTTCTACGTTAAATCATTTTGTATTACGTTTCAAACTTGAATGAAGAATCAACGAATTCATTAGTTTGAAACGTCTAGCAATATAGAAAATGATGAACGTAGAACTTTTGTTCTTTATTATAATAAAAAAAGAAACACAACGAAAAACAAATTAGTAATATTTCTTTTCAATGAGAT